AAAAAAAAAAAAGAAAAGAAAGAAGAAAGACCAAAGCCCCGCCAGGAGAAAAAGGGCTGTTTGGGCGGCGAGGAAGCTGTTCCCTTTATCCCCGCGCTCCCTGGGCTCCGGAGCGGGTGCCGGAGCTCCGGCGGGCTGCGGGGCTGCGGCCGCCCCGCTCCGCTCCGCGCTCCCCCCGCGCCGCCCCGCGCCGGGCCGGGGGAGGGCGAAGGGAAGGCGGAGGGAAAACACCCCCTTCTCCTGATGGGGCCGGGGTCGGTGCTCACGCACTCACACACTCACACGGCACACACACACACACTCACCCAGCACACACACACACACACACACACGCTCATCCCCCTCCCCGCTGCCAAAGGGTGCGCCTGGGGGGCGGCTTTTTGCTCCCCCGCCGGATTTTTCCCTTTATCTGTCTTTTATTTTGTCTTTTTGGTCTGGTTCTTCCCCCCTTCCTCCCCCCCCCCCCCCCCCCCCCCCCCCCCCCCCCCCCCCCCCCCCCCCCCCCCCCCCGGCCCTCCCCTCGTTCTCCCTCTCTCTCCCTCCCTGCAAGGGGCGGTGATTTGGTTAAGCAGATCTGGGGGGCTGATGCCTCTCGCTCTTCCCTCTTGTGTTTCTATCGCTCACTCCCGGAGTTCTGCAGCACTTGGGGGGCGAGGGGTGTGTGTGTGTATGGGGGGGATGCTGGGAGGTGGGGGGCGAAGTGTGGGGAATAAATGGTAAAGATCAGGCGCGCACACACACACACACACACACACACGCAGACACTCGCTCGGTGTGGCTGCAATGCTCAGCTCTGGGTTAATGTACTCAACAGTGCCACTACCTGACACAACAGCAGCACTGATGGGGGCAGGGGAGAAAAGGCAGAGGAGGTGAGATTCAGGGCAGTGGTATTTATCCCATTTATCCCACTCCAAGCTCAGTCTCTCCCACGCCATCCCACCCACCCCCCACCCCACCATATGCTTTTTGCCGCGAGCTCACGACCTGTGCGGGAGATTTTTGGGGTCCAGTGACTGCTGTTCAGATCACAGTGAGAATTCACTCTGTGGGGCTGGGGGAGACAAGCAAGGATTCTCAACACCTGATTTAAGGAGTAAAACCGCCACAGGCACACCTTTCGGTATGGCGTAGTAACAGTGCCCAAAATACAGCACAAACTCAGTTCCAGGTCAGTGGAGCTGTGCAAAATCCAAGTTGTTGGGCTTCTCATTTCCCACCATTGCTCTGCCAGCAGTCTGGATGATGCTGTCATTTAGGGTTGCCAGTTCGGCAAACCTTTACTCACAAGAGTAAATTGTTGGCTTGACTGAGTAATCTCTCAGAGGTAATGTTGAGGAACCCCTGGAAAAGGGAAGGCTTGTGGGATGGAGCTGTGGAAGTGTACTTACAGATGAAGGTAACATTGCAGGGGATCTGCAAGTCTGATCCCTTGCAGAGATGGTGCCACAGGGTTCCCTGTCCCAGAGTGTCGTAGAAGGCCCAAAGTACACCAAGCTTCTCCTGTGTGTTCTGGGAAAAATGGTAACTTCTGGCCATCATCCCGAGTGACCTCAATTCAGGGTTCAACTGGTGCAGTTCAGGGTTCAACTGGGTTGACCCTCATCTGCTATGGAGGTTTTTTCATGTGCTGTTATTCCTTATGTCATAGAATCATAGAATTTGTGGGGTCAGGAGGGACCTCGTTCAAACCCCCTGCCACGGGCAGGGACACCTTCCACTAGACCAGGTTACTCCAAGCCCCATCCAACCTGGTCTTGAACACTTCCAGGGATGGGGCATCCACAGCTGCTCTGGGCAACCTGTGACAGTGCCTCACCACACGCACAGGGAAGAATTTCTTCCCAACATCTAGTCTAAACTTTCTGTCTTTCAGCCTGAAACCGTTCCCCCTTGTCCTGTCACTCACGGCCCTTGTCAAAGTCCATCTCCAGCTCTCTTGTAGCCTCTATTGGTATTCTGAGGGCTTCTTGGGTCTCCCCAGAGCCTTCTCCTCTGCATTCCGAACAGCCCCAGCTCTCTCAGCCTGTCTCCTTAGGACATGCAATGTGTAGCAATGGATCTACAACACAGGTCCCAGTCTAACACCAGATGGGTAGGAGAGATTTGTGGGCCCCATGAGACAGCAGCGTAGCCCTCAAAAACCCTCACCAGGCACAGTTACATGGGTGAGAATGTAGCCTCAGCCCCAGTGTGGGGTTTTTTTATGCTTTTTGGGACAAGCTCCTAGATAAAAAATATACCAAGCCATCACTTTCTTTTGGATCTCCCCACACCATCGACATCTGCCAGGATACCTGCTAATCCCAAATTGATGAGCTTAGAGGCAACAGGCTGTGCCCGTCCTTCTCTCACAGTCCTTTCCTCACGCTTCTCTCCATCAGTAGGAAAAAAATGGATCAATAAAATACACAAAAAGCTCTCCAAATGATGGCCAACAGAACACCCCCCCCACCCCCATCCTAAACAAATACGCAACTCAAAAACTTTCAAATAGGAAGTGTCCCACTGAAAATGTTGACATTTCTGATTGAAACCAAACAAGAATTGTCATTTCCAATCAGCGCTTTGACATGGAAGGAAAGCTTGTTTGTTTGAATTAAATCACCCAACTGGAGCTACATTTTGTCATTTTGTATCCAAATGAAACAAAAAAGAAACCGTTTCAACATTTCTTGGCAGAGCTGCCAGTGACATTTCCTGTGAAGAATTCTGGTTTTGAGAACTTTTGGCAGGTGAACTCTGCGTTAAAGAGCTCCACTGACCATCATCTTCCTCCTTGGAATAATCTGACACATGGCTATGAAATAGTTGGCTTGATTGAATTAATGTAGAAAACCAAATTATGGAACCAAATGCTAAAAGAAAGAAAAACAATTAAAAAAAAAATCGCTTTTGATTTTCTTTCCTAGAAAACAGTATTTTGTTTACATTCATTCTGTTTGGGATAAAAAGTGTTTTGTGAGCCTTTGCTCTTTTTATCTTGTATTACTTTTCTTCTGGAGGGCATACATATGCATACACATACACAAATGTATTTAAAGCAACCCCATGTAAATAATTTCAAACTGAGTTCAATTTAGGAAGCAATAGAAATAATTACTTATTTAATGCTCACTCTGAAAATATGACAGGATTTAAATTAATAATAATTAAAAAACCTCAGTCCTGCTAAAGGAAGTTTTTGATTGACCCAAAGTTATTTTTAGGCCTGTCTTATGTATAACTGCAAGAAAAAAAACACCCCACCTGGTTGCTGTAGACATCAAACTCTTTCAGGATAAATTTCATAAGCAGAAAAAGAGCCATCCTTTTGAGTGGTCACCTTGTGGGACATGCATGCATAAATCATTGTGAATCAGGGTTGACATCAAAGGTTTTCTTACCTATTGGTTTTGTCTTCTAGATCTAGAAAATTTTTTCCTCTTTTAAAAACATCTCCTCCCTCTGACTCGGCTCTGTGTCAAGGAGTTCATACAATGTAAGTGGGTAATCTCAAGAAGGAAATTTCCTCCTCTTTGTTCTTTTCACTTAAAAAATATGATGGCATTCATAAAGTTAGTTTGGTTCCTCCAGTGGACCTGAGATGAGTTTCCTATTTGTGTCAAACAGTCTGCACATAATCTTGACCACATGAGACAGGCAGATGTTTTATAATGAAGGCCAGGAGCCTGTTATTTTTATATAAATAGCAAATAGAGTTAAATATGTACATAAGTCTTTCTAGGTTCAAGGTATTGATTAAAGTTATGCAGAATTATTGTGTGATTTTTAAATCAATGTGAAAGACTAAAAAAAAGGAACTTGCAAGACCCCCAGGAAAACAATGGTAACTTTATATGATTCAGAAATACAACCAGATCATTAGAAGTTTCTATTGTTTAAATTGCTTAAATTAGACCATTTTTCCATATGTTTTAGCTTCTCAGATGTCTAAGAGTCTTCTTTATATAGCAGCTCTATGTAGAAATTATCTATTTATCTACCTGTATGTCATCCATCATTTATCTATTTATATGTACACATAGAAAAATAAGATCTCAGACCTACAACAGTTAGCAATTCTTTGCATCCCACTACCAGGTAAGCAATGAGCCATCATGTACTAAGCAAGACAAATGAGGAAATATGAACATTTTTCAATCCTCCTTTTTTGTTTGTTTGTTTGTTTGTTTGTTTCTCCAGAATTGGAAATCCAACTAAGTGGACAAATTTGCCACCAAAATAGAAACAACAGTGATTTTTGTAGTTGCCCTTTTATTTTATAAATCACTCTGATATGTGGTGTTGAGTTTCAGCATTGTTGTGTGAACAATAACAGGCTACAATCAAAATTCAGGGCCAATTGATTGGAAACCAAGTGCAACAGTAATTTTGGAAGACATAAACCCCCTGTTTTGGTTAATTCTCCATGTGTTTAGGGCATTTATACCCACAGGGTCCACAAACCATTTCTCTTGTACAATATTTTGATAGCTGAGCACTTCTACCTCTGTCTCAGTGTCTTCTTGATGGTCACAATGATTGTGTCATGCTTGCTGCTATCCAAAAACAAAAGAAGAGGATTTTGTCTCCAGTTTCTCAACCAGGACAATTAGAAGAAAACCTTGGTAGCTTAGCAACACCATGTTACAGTGTGGGAGATGACCACAGGGGAGGCTCAGGTTTAAGTCCAGGCTTTCTTATCTATCAGGTCTTTCTTAGCCTCTGTTCCCCTATGGAGCCAGTGTCTAAACATTTCTCTGCACACTGAAGTTGTAGCACTCAGTGATGCAGCACTTGCTGACGCACCAGCAGAAGACCAGGACCTGCCCTCTGCTCAGGCTGCTCAGACACGAGTCCTTTTGAAAGCCTTCGAATATTTGCCTCCCTTAGCTCTTTCAGCACCCATCAGTTTGTCACTGCTCTTACATTTGTGATTATGTTTTGCAGTCTCTCCTGAGCAAACAAGTAGCTCTGATCTTGTAAGTGCATGAAATTTTTTTCCCCTCATAAATAACTTCAAAGAGACTAATTACCAGTGAACGTCAAAACCTATCCTGGATTCTCATGTGCATCACTGCTTTACGATGGTGTGGATTTCCGTCAGGGTTTTCGTACAAGTTTGCATCTATATGTACATACAGCCTTGAATGTATATACTTATGTATATCTGAGACTTTGTAAACCAGCAAAGAAGCAGTGACATGAATAAGAAGCACAAAACATTAGCGGAAATGTAACATCAGTCAGTGAAGCTCAGGACAGGCAGGAGGTAATTGAAAAGCTACGTAATTTAGGATAGGGAGTGAATGGAAACACTGGACCTATTTGGGAATCCTGAGTATAAAGAATTGTTTAATCTATCTGGGGAAAGTCATAAAAGGAATTGATTACTACAAGTTGAATTTAGAGAAAATATCACATTGCAATGAAGAGGTACAAGGTTCACAACAATTAATCATTCCAGAAACGTAATAGGACGATTGGTAAAAATCACCATCTCATGACATTTTCAGCTTGGAGACTGGATGGCTTCCTAGAAGATATGTTTTAGCCAAGCAAAAGTAATTGGGTTCAGGACAAGAGCAGACATGAAATGAGTTAAGAACTGCCTAACTGACAGATCTCTGAAAGCAATTGTCAATGCAGAATTATGGTCAAAGAAGAGTGTTACTAGGGTTTCCTCTTATGCTATTCATCAGTGATCTGGAAGTAAATATAAAACTACTCCTGATGACATTTTTAGATGACATTATGGTCAGTGAAACAGCAAAGAATGTGAGTCCAAGGCAGCCTCATGTAACAAATACTGCCTGGCCTGGGCAAACAAGAAGCATTTTAATGCATTAAGATGCTTCTTGCAAACACAGAACAAAAACCTGGACAAGCCCAGCATTTTCAGCTTTGAGCTGGACTCTCAAATCTGAAAGGGTTGATGTGAGTCTTGGGTCTGCAGCCAGGAGACTTATGTAGCATGGCACTAGTAAGTTGAATTAGAGAGGGTCTGACAGCCACATTTTAAAATACGGTGACAAAATTGGAGAGGATACAGAAAAGAGGGAAAAAAAATATTAGGGCTGGAGAAAATGATTTGCAGGCCAAAGGTTGAAGAATTATATTTAGCTATCAGAAGTAGATTTGATTACAGCTGGAAAAATGTTTGTAGACTGAGAAAATTAAATGGTGCCAAGGGACCAGACTTAGGTACTAATTTCTCAAAGAAACAGAGCTGGGACCAGTCCTCCCTTCAACATTTCCTACGTAACAGTATAAGCAACTCTTATCCACTCTAAATCCAACTAATTTCTAACTCTGTCCATACATTGCAATTGAATGACCTCACTGGAAGATTTGGGGTTCACTTTTGGGCTGAGTGTTCTATTGCCCAGGTGCAGGATAATCTGAAATCTGAATTTGTCCTGGGATTCCTTTCTGGAAATGAAGTTTAACTGAGTGACGTGGAACTATCCTTTAACCTAAACCAAACTGAAGCCCTGATGACCCTGACAGGTTGGAGGCAGATTAGATGCATGGTCCTCTCCATACTGGCAACCTTGGAAGTCAGTTTGCAGAAGAATCATGCAGACGT